AACACGCACGACACACACACATAGGGGGCAGTAGAACACGCCCGACACACACACGTAGGGGGCAGTAGAACACGCCCGACACACACGTAGGGGGCAGTAGAACACGTCTGACACACACACGTAAGGGGCAGTAGAACACGCCCCGACACACACACGTAGGGGGCAGTAGAACACACCTGAGACACACACGTAGGGGGCAGTACAACACGCCTGACACACACGTCGGGGGCAGTAGAACACGCCCGACACACACACATAGGGGGCAGTAGAACACGCCCGACACACACACGTAGGGGGCAGTAGAACACGCCCCAACACACACATGTAGGGGGCAGTAGAACACGCCCGACACACACACTATGGGGGCAGTAGAACACGCCCGACACACACACGTAGGGGGCAGTAGAACACGCCCGACACACACACGTAGGGGGCAGTAGAACACGCCCCAACACACACATGTAGGGGGCGGTAGAACACACCTGACACACACACGTCGGGGGCAGTACAACACGCCTGACACACACGTCAGGGGCAGTAGAACACGCCCGACACACACACATAGGGGGCAGTAGAACACGCCCGACACACACACATAGGGGGCAGTAGAACACGCCTGACACACACGTCGGGGGCAGTAGAACACGCCCGACACACACACTATGGGGGCAGTAGAACACGCAGAAAATGGGGGTGCAAGGAGCAGAGGAGGCAGCAGAGATGAATGGGGGACAGGCATAGTGCTGGGGGTATGCAGGGAGGGTGGGCCAGCCGGCCAGGTGCATGCAGACAAACAGGAGAGATGTTTGGCCTCAGAAAGGGATGAAGGCAATGTTAGATGCAATACGGCACCGGCAAATGACAGTACAGAGAGGAGGAAGGGAACGGGAGAGAGAGCAGGTACAGACCTCTTCTTCCTCAATTCGAGCAGGCTCAATCAGAAGATTATTGACTTGATCAAATGACACCCCCTGTTAGGACAGGAAGCATTGAGAGTCATGCAGATTAGTGGGGGCCAAATAATATCCCCCACGCACACGCACACACACACACACACGTGCCTGGGGCCAAGATCCCACACCTACACCAACAGAGACACCCGTGTAAAGGAGAATGGGGGGAGGGGGGGCACACTGGCATGGATCTAGCTAAGCTTTGAGAAAAAAAAGACAAAAGAAGTCAGGGAGAGATCCAGTGAGGTGGTTCCTTCAAAGCCTGCTGGCCCAAAACATCTCCTCCAGGCTGAGGCATGTGAGGCTGGAATCGGTGGCAGTCTCAGCCCCATGAACACAGTGGCAGCTGCATGGCCAGTGAGAGCACAGCTTTGGCCCCCAAGCCCTGCTGTTTGGTCGGATCCAAGAGATGCTTGGACATGTTTGACAAAGACGACTGAGGGTGGTTTCCAGACGGTCAGAAGTGATTCGGAAAGACCATAAGACACAATGTCACGCACAGACACACATGCAGTCTACGTATTCATATCTTTATCGGGACTCTCCATTCATTTCTATGGGCAAAACTCTAATCCCAACAAAGACAACCATAACCCCTACTCAGCCCTAACATTAACCATAAGTAACCTAACAAAATGGAATTTTTGGCATTTTTAGTTTTTTGGTTGCATTCACAGTCGGTCAGTCACTGGCTTCACTGCACACGGCATCGATCACCTCCGCCTACCTTAACGGGCTGCAGGGAGGCGTTATGTCTGTCCGTCAGCCCCTCCGTCCTGGGGAGAGGAGAGATGTTCTCTGCTTCCTCCTCCTCTTCCTCCTCCTCCTCCTCCTCCTCTTCCACTCCTTCCTCAGGAGACGGGTGCATCCCCTCGGCACTGAATCCCTGCAGCAGAGCCGCCACCGCCTCCGGTTTGGGAAGCTTGGAGACCTTGAAATGCTTCTTGTAGTGAGGCGTGTCCTTCCTGATCAGCCGCTGCCGCTCAGCGGGGACAGCGCGCCGCTCCCCGTCATCGCTCGGCTCTTCCTCATCGTCCTCCTCCTCACCTCCACGGATAATGGGCTCCTCTGCGAAGTGCACGGTGGGCTGCAGATGAGAGCGGTCATCAGACCCATATGCCGCTCACCTCGTTTGCTAATTACACGGGAATCCACCTCACAGCTGACCCTTCTACGCTCGTTTGGATCGTCACGTAAACATTACGCAGCACAGGTGCCTGAAGCTCCAAAATCACCAAGCGTGACAAATTTCCATGCTTGGAAATCTTTCCTAACAAACTGCAGATTTGCTCACCTCCACGTATTCAACTTCCATTTCATCCAGCTCCACCAAATCATTTTTGTGTCTGTGAAGTTGGTTGGACGTCTGAGAGTCTGGGCTGTGATTGGTCAACGTCGCCTGCATGCAAAACGGCAGGTTATTACCCCGAAAACCATCCAAAGGCACCTGCCGGTCCAGTACGGATGCGGCTATGTTCAGTACCTTCTCTGTGTCGGTCCTCTCCTCCTCCTCCTCCGCATGGGGCCTCCTCTCTTCCATGACCTTCTTCATCTCCTTCAGCTCATTCGGGTGCGGTGTTGCCCGTCGATGCAGACCCTGACACGTATACGGGTGATGTTAGTGGCAAAAGCCAGGCCAGTGAGCCCCCACGTGCCCCCACCCCCGCGTCACCAAATACCCCTCGTTCAGCCGCGCTCTCCTCATCATGCTCCCGGTCTTCCAGCTTCTCCTGGAACTGGATGGTGGACACGCGGTTCAGGTTGGTGTCTGTCCAGCTGTCATCAGTAGGAGTTGGCGGCTCGTTCTCTGTGACATGCAGGGAGGGGGGGGGGACTCAGGGTTTGAATGTTGAGGACCCCGATGTTCTGGGATCCTCAGAGATCCATAGCTAGGCATCTGACCTGATGCGTGACAACCAAGCCAATACTGCAAAATCTTTGGTGTTTTCTGATGCAAGAAGAAAACTAGCCTATCAGAATGGAAAGGTATGAAATTTAATAGTGGGCGGAGCTAAGAAGAGAAAGACACACTCAAGGAAACATCCACCCAATAGGCAGAGTAAAGAACACCTCTGGATTGTAACATCAGTAACACTGTGTTTATTTCTAGCGAAGAAGGCAGCTCTTTTATCGCAGAACGCCCTCCAGTGCCTGTTTACGTCAGCTGCACTGTAGATGAAAGGTGTCTTTTCACTGGGCTCTTGCTGTGCAGGCATAAAGTATCTGACACCCTGATGTCAGGCCCCAGCGGGGAGGCTGCAGTCACTGCCGCTTGTCCAGTTAGAATAATGAGGCCGACGTTTTATTACCACCCCTTGTTATCATGCAAGAGGAAGTCACTCATCGACTTCTATTATAAGACTACGTGTCTATGTCTGAGTAGGCATGCAAGTATGTATGCATATACGTCTCAGCATGTAAGAGTATTTCTGAGTATGCGTTTGAGTATGTCTGAGTAAGCATGAGTATCCATCCGAGTATGCATAAGTGTGCATACTGCATCATATACTACTGCAAAAAAATTGAAAAATATAGGCCTCCTAACAGCTATGCAAAGACTAAACGCGTGCCTGACCCCCCAGCCCCCCCGCCTCACCTGGGCTGGTCGACGGCTGCTGTGGCAGCAGGTAGCAGGTGAGCACCGTCTCCCCAGACCTGCTGTCATTCTCCATCTGGAACTTGAGCATGGGCTGCGACTGGTTCTCGGCCAGCCACAGGGCCTTCAGGTTCAGGTTTGCCAGGGAGAACGGGAGGTTCTGAAGCCTGGAACAGGCAGCGGGGTCACAGGGACGCTGTGAGTAAACTGTGCGGGGCGAAAAGCCAGACTCCGAACTCACCGGCATTCTAAGGATCAGTTTGTGTCGGTAACTTTATGCAAAGGGTCTGCATACACTAAGCTGAAGGCTAAAAATGCTGCTGTGCATAGGACTCTGCGACTGAGCATGTGTGACTGCGTAACTGAGTGTGACTATGGACATGGCTGTGCACATAACCGCAACTGTGCACGTTTGTGACTGGGTATGCGACCATGTGACTGCGCATGGCACCTGTTCCCCGCCACGTCCAGCACATGCAGCTCCGTGGCACCTGCCAGCTCGGGGGGCAGCCTGGCCAGGCGGTTCTCACGCAGCGAGAGCACCGTGAGGCTGGTACAGCCGCCCAGCTCCAGGGGGACACCATACAGACGGTTGCGGTCCACGTTCAGGTTGGTCAGCTTCTTCAGCTGCCCCATGGATCGCGGCAGAGCCTGGCGAGAGAAGGGACAGGGTGGAGGAGGGGATGGAGAGTGAGAAAGGTCAGGGGGAAGAGGGAAAAACAGGAAACGACAAGGAAACCAGAAGGAGAGCAAATAAGAGAGAGACAAAAGACGAGAAAGAAAAGAAAACATGAAGGAGGAAGAAGGAAGGAGAAGGAAGGAGAAGGAAGGAGGAGAAAAGAATTGAGAAGAAGAAGGAAGGAGGACAAAAGAAGGAGGAAGAAGAAGAAGAAAAGGAATGAGAGGAAGAAGAAGATTGGGGAAGAAAAAAGAGAAGAAGGAAGGAAGGAAGGAGAAGAAGAAGGAGAAAAGAATGGAGGAGAAGAAGATAAGAAAAAGAAGTGAAGAAGAAGAACAAGAGAGGCAGACTGTGTGCAGGTAAGAGAAAAGCAGACTATGAAAGACAAGGAATAAGACAACAAGACTGAAAAGGACAGTACTGACGCGTGGGGCATGGTCAAAGGTGATTAACCACGATGAGAAGCACCAGCAGTCCACCAGGCAGAAACGATGAAGAAGCGCACATGGCGGAAAGCTGGACAGAGAGAAGGACACGCATGTGGAGGCCAGACCTGGAGGAGGTTTTCAGTGAGCACCAGCTCAGACAGATTCTCACAGTCGCCGATGGCATCCGTCAGGCGGATCAGCCGGTTCTGGTCCATTTTGAGTATGGACAGCTGCTTCAGGCCACCTGCAAGGGCCACCAACAAGGGTATAACTGTTGTAGCACAACTCTAACTTATTAACTGTCAGGAGGTTAACTGCCGTGGTTTGGCTGCTTAAGGATCCACGACTCTGCAGTGCCACCAGCTTCCGTACTGCACCCAAAGGAGATTAGAACCCCACGCTATACTGACAGTTACACTGCTCCCAGGGGGTTTAGACCCTAATACCATACTGTCAGCCATACTGCACCTAGGGGGTTTAGACCCTCATGTTATACAAACACTCATACTGCACTCAGGTTTAGACTCCCACACCATACTGACAGCCAGGGGGATAAGACAGTTCCATTCATGTAAGATAACCATTAAGGAGCTGGACAGCACTCAGTGAGATATTTGGAACAATTACACACAGCCTGACAGTGAGACACTGTCAACCCCGGCGATCTCACCAATGGTGTCTGGCAACAGCTCCAGCCGGTTCTGTGACAGCAGCAGGTCGGTTAGGAGCACCAGGCTGCCCATCTCTGCGGGAAGCTCCTCCAGGCGGTTTTCTGACACGTCCAGGCACACCAGTCTCCTTAGGTTCCCTAGCTCCTGCACAAGTGCACAGAGGCAGGTAGAGAGGTGGAGAATTATGGGCATTTTTATGAACAAGTGATAAGAAATAAGACATAGAAGCCTATGGTGGGTGGGGTCAGTGTATGGCGACCAATCATTGCCTGATTTAAGGGTCGGTGTATGGTGACCAATCATTGCCTGATTTATGCAAAACGGAACTGAGAATCAGCGACTAAAAATGCCCCAAGCCTGCAGTAGAGGTTGTTGATTGGTTTGTTTTCCTCCTGGTTGCAGGCACATAGATGGCTTCCTTTACCCGCTTGTAGGACCCCTACCGACCCCAGGTGCGAGTGAGGAGCCAGCTTTGCCACACTGACCGGGGGCAGGGTAGCCAGGCGGTTGTGGTCCAGCAGCAGCTCCCGCAGGTTGGGCAGAGCACCAAGGGTGTCAGGCTGGGGACACAGAGCAAATGGCCGGTTTGCAAACCCTCCCAGGAATGAACAGAGAGCCAGGCGGCCCAAACAGCCAGCACTGCGTCGAGATATTTTTAAAATGAGACCAGCGCCAAAAGAGAAAGAAAAAGAAATAAACAATGGGGCCAAGCCCATGTGACACCCGAAGCGAGCTTCACCACCCGGTTTCACTTTGGGCAGGCTGGGGTGGCGCTGGCGGCCGTCTAAGGCAGCACCACCCCACAAGATGGTGCCCTTGCCAGCCGCCCATTCCACTGCTGCATTATTTTCACGAATGCTTCTTTAATTGTTCATTTTGGCTGTATCACAAAAAACTGCAAAAATCTGGCAAAAATAGCATTTGATCGTGTGCGCACTGAACTCTGTGATCGCATCTCATGCACGCAGAACGCCTCTTACATCAATGTTTCTCAGCCCAGCCCTCAGGAACCCCCAGACAGTCCACATTTTTGCTCCCAGCGCACCCAAACCAGGTATTCGATGTTCTCGATTGTCTGGGAGCTGCGAGGGAGCAAAAATGTGGATTGTCTACGGATACCAAAGGGCTGGGTTGAGAAACACAGCAAACATCCTTCAGCTATTACAGAAAAGTCCAACGAAAGTGGGGTCCATTGAAAGGACAACCATACAGCAGCCAAGCAGGGGGCAGGTATGTAACCTGCTGACATCATGATAAACAAAGTGTCAAATTAAAAGCTGGACAATATCCAGCTAATAGACAACGACGCGCCAAAATAAAAGCTGCATGTGTGTTTGAATATGAACTAGACCGGTTGCCTACCAATGCTTCCAGGTCATTACTGCCCACATCCAGCTGCTCCAGCTTCACCAGGAAAGACAGCGACCTAAAAATGGGGAAAAGTCTGATCATATATGGTGCTCAGAACCACAGAGCACAACATTTTTACTTCTTGGACTGTATGAAAATAGTGTATAAAAATTAATTTGTGATGCAAACTCATTTGTAAGCTTCTGTATTTGAATAATGTAGCTGGAGTGTGGATGTGGTGATGCTGTGCCATTTCCCGTGTCCCTTTAACATGACATGGCTTTCATGCCAATGGCTGTGGCAAGCAATAGAGGGCGACAAACACAGCCTGAGGACCCAAAGCACGAAGGCTTAAAGCAGGGGTGGCCAATCTTATCCGCAAAGGACCGGTGTGTATGCGGGTTTTCGCTGCAGCTCCCTAATTAGATTACTATTGGCTGAAGAGTCCTCACACCTGGGTTTGAACAGCTGACCTGCAGGTTATCCCAAAAACCCGAGTACACACCGGCCCTTTGCGGATAAGATTGGCCACCGTTGGCTTAAAATATCTGCACATGTTAACAAAACACTCATCAATAAGCTTGCGCTGGCAGGGCCCCGCAGTCAGTGTGTTAGCATAGCAGGGCCCCGCAGTGTGTGTTAGCATAGCAGGGCCCCGCAGTGTGTGTTAGCATAGCAGGGCCCCGCAGTGTGTGTTAGCATAGCAGGGCCTCGCAGTGTGTGTTTTAGCATGGCAGGGCCCCACAGTGTGTGTGTTAGCATGGCAGGGCCCCGCATTGTGTTTTTAGCATAGCAGGGCCCCACAGTGTGTGTGTTAGCATGGCAGGGCCCCGTAGTGTGTTTTTAGCATAGCAGGGCCTCGCAGTGTTTGTTTTAGCATGGCAGGGCCCCGCAGTGTGTTTTTAGCATAGCAGGGCCCCGCAGCGTGTGTTAGCAAGGCAGGACCCCGCAGTGTGTGTTAGCATGGCAGGGCCCCGTAGTGTGTTTTTAGCATAGCAGGGCCCCGCAGTGTGTGTTAGCATGGCAGGGCCCCACAGTGTGTGTGTTAGCATGGCAGGGCCCCACAGTGTGTGTGTTAGCATGGCAGGGCCCCATAGTGTGTTTTTAGCATAGCAGGGCCCCATAGTGTGTTTTTAGCATAGCAGGGCCCCGTAGTGTGTTTTTAGCATAGCAGGGCCCCGCAGTGTGTGTGTTAGCATGGCAGGGCCCCACAGTGTGTGTGTTAACATGGCAGGGCCCCGCAGTGTGTGTGTTAACATGGCAGGGCCCCGCAGTGTGTGTGTTAA